ATAATTGTAAGAAAATGAATCTAGACATAATTTTGGAGTATTTCTTTTTGAGATATCAAAAATATTTTTCCATCAATCCCCCACATATCTCAAAAAGAAAATAATGAAATAATAAACTAATTTGATGGGTTTTCACAAATGAGCATAATGCATCGAATCTGGTGTCTCTTGGACTATGAACCAGACTTATATAAAATAAGATTAAACTTACAGAACAATTTGTGAAGTTTAAAACTTCTATGAACCAAGAATTCTTTTGTAAGTTTAGTGTCTTATCTATCACATTATACTCGTACACACTTTGTTGTTTGACACGGTTTTGCGCTAATAGGCCATGCGCGTACCTGGTTTTCATGAGTGCTCTAGAAATTTTTTGCCATAAATTTCATAGAAGCGGCCCCACTCCATACTCATATAGGTTCATTCATCAAGTGTATTCTGCAGCACAATACACCACATATCAAAGCTATGGATTATTAGATTAAGAGTTTAATAACTCAGCCTCTCATTCCTTGCAGTCTTGCACTATACACACACACACACCATAGGAAAGGATATAATTTAATAGTGCACATTTGATCAATTAATGACTTGTTATTACCCATATGAACCTACTTCATGGGATCTCCAATCACATAGGTTGGGTTACTATCATTGTTGATATAACTCAAATTGGCAAAAGTCTCATTTCCCTCGATGTTTCGAATATTAATTTACTTCCCAAAGGTTTAGTCAGAGGATCAACCAAATTCACTTCTGACTTCACATAATCTATGGAAATAATTCCATCTCTCAGCAGCTGCTTTATCACATTATGTCTCAATCGGATATGTCTACTCTTCCCATTAAAGGATTTATTTTTAGCAATGGCTATTGCAGCTAGACAATCACAATGCATCGACACAGAAGGTGTCGGTTTAATTCCTAGTGGAATACTCGCCAAAAGGTTCTTTAACCACTCGGCCTCATTGCCAGCTAATTCCAAAGCCACAAACTCAGATTCCATGGTAGATCTAGCTATTATTGTTTGTTTAGCTGATTTTCATGCCACAGCACCCCCACCGAGGGTGAACACATAACCACTAGTGGATTTTGTCACATCTGAATCAGAGATCCTTTTAGCATCACTGTATCCTTCTAGTACAGTAGGAAAATCCACTATATTTAATACCATAGCTCATGATACCTCTCAAATACTTCATTACTCTTACTAATGCATTTCAATGATCATGACTCGGGTTTTGAGTATATCTACTCAATCTACACACAACATATGCAATATCAGGTCTAGTGAAATTCATCAAATGCATTAGGCTACCAATAATTTGAGCATATTTATTTTGATCAACAGGATCTCCCTTATTCTTTTTTAACTGACTATTAGCATCATAAGGAGTGCTTACATGTACCACATCAAAATTATCAAACTTTTTAAAAATTCTCTCAACATAATGTTCTTGAGTCAACATCAAACTACTGCCATCTCTCATAATTTTCATGCCTAAAATAACACTAGCTTCTCCCATGTCTTTCATCTCAAAATTAGAAGATAAGAAAAATTTGGTTTTATGTACCAAATCAAGGCTAGAACTAAAAATAAGCATGACATCCACATAAAGGCAAATAATAACACATGTATCATCTACACATTTTGTATAAACACATTTATCTACTTCAATTGATGAAAACTCATCATTAATCAATACTTGATCAAATTTTTCATGTCACTGTTTAGGTGCTTGCTTTATACCATATAAAGATTTTAACAATTTACATGCTTTATTTTCTTGCCCGGACACTATACAACCCTCAGGTTGGTCCATGTAAATTTCTTCTTCCAAATCACTATTTAAAAATGCAGTTTTTAACGTCTATTTGGTAAATAAAAAGTTTATAAATAGAAGCCAAGGCAAGTAAAACACGAATTGAGGAAATTCTTGTTACAGGAGCATAAATATCAAAATAATCAATATTTTATTTTTGGGTAAAACCTTTTGCAACAACTCTAGCTTTGTATTTATCAATGGAACCATCCGGATTGAGTTTCTTCTTAAAAATCCATTTACAACCAATGGGTTTAGCTCTCGGAGGTAAATCAACTAAAATCCAAGTTTTATTTTGTAAAATTGAATTTAATTCTACATTAATAGCTTCTTTCCAAAATGAGGCATCATACGAAGAAATAGCTTCAAAATATGTTAAAGGATCATTATCCACAAGATAAGTATAAAAATCATTACCAAAAGATTTTTCTTTCTTTGGTCTTTTGCTTCTTCTTAAATCCTCACTTTCAAGATCATTTTGAACAATTGGAACATGTGAAATATTATCACTTGGAATAATAGGAGCATCGAAAATTTTCTCAAATTTTAAAGGAAAAATATTCTCAAAAAATACAGCATTTTTCTATATGCTGCACTGCTTTCAGCATACCCAATAAACATATAATCAGATATTTTAGATCCTATTTTTCTTTTCTTAGCATTGGGTAACATTACTTTAGCAAGGCACCCCCACACTTTCAAATATTTCAAATTATGGGGATAGCCTTTCCACAGCTCATAAGGAGTTTTACCTGTTTTCTTATAAGGAATCCTATTTTGTAAATGACAAGCAGATAAAATGGCTTCACCCCAAAGATTATTCCGAGCACCAGAACTAACAATCGTACTATTCATCATTTATTTTAAAGTCCTATTTTTTCTTTCCGCTACACCATTTGATTGTGGAGAATATGGCGGAGTTATCTCGTGAATTATGCCTTGTTTCTCACAATAATCATTCAACAAAATAAATTCACCACCTCTATCGGATCTAACTCTTTTGATTTTCTTATCTAATTGATTTTCTACTTCAGATTTATAAATTAAAAACTTATCAAAAGCTTCATCTTTATTTCTCAACAAATAAACTTTTGTATATCAAGAAAAAATCGTCTATAAAAGTCACATAATATTTTTTCCCTCCTCTAGTCATAGTTTGTTTCAAGTCTCCTAGAGCAGTATGAATTAAACTTAATAATTCAGATTCTCTAAATACTGAAGCACGTGATTTCTTAGTTTGTTTAGCTTCTGCACAAACTTCACACTTATCAATATTCGAAAAATTAATATTTGAAATAAGACCTTCAGAATGCATTTTCTTAATATAAGATAAATTAACATGTCCTAATCTAGCATGCCATAAATTAAAAGAATCAATCAAGTAAGCAGAAAAACTAGCATTTTCATTCATAACATTCGATACAAACAAGCCATGGCTATAATAACCCTTGCCAACAAAATTATTATTCTTGGTCAACACGACCTTATCAGATTCAAAGGAAACCTTCACCCCCACTTTTCTTAATAATCCCACAGAGACCAAATTGGCTAGGATACTAGGAACATGCAACACGTCATTCAATGCCAAAGTTTTGCCAGATGTGAGTTTGAGAAGAACTTTACCTTTTCCAAGAACTGGGGTAGTTCTTAAGTCACCAAGATAGACAACTTCTTCTCCCTCCTCAACTTGGATGTAAGACACAAAGTCTTTTTTGTTAGCACATATGTGCCTAGTAGCACCAGAATCTAACACCCAATCTTTCACATTGGCCACAAGGTTAACTTGGGAAACAACAGCAACAATTATATCATCCACTTTGGCTTCAGTCAAATTTACTTTAGCCATAGCGGGATTGTCATTCCCAACCTTTTTTCGACATTGAGCAACATAGTGGCCAGATTTGCCACACACAAAGCAGTTGTTTTTTTCCTTGAAGGTTTGATTGTTGGTTTTGGGCTTATAACCATTTCTTTCGTCATACCTGTTACTTGATTTTCTCTGACAGTTGTTGTCCTCCACAAGGCTGCTTCTAGTTGCAATTTCTTTTCCTTTGCCAACAACAGCATGCTTGCGGTTAAAATTATCTCCACCAAAAACCTCAATTTTTGAAACAACCGGAAAAGGTTTGGCACAGGTAATTGGTGATGGAACAACAACAGAAACAGTTGGTGCGGCAGGAGTAGTAGCATCAACAGCAACATTAGCAGCGTTATTCTCCATAATAACAATGTAAAATATTCTTAAGATTGTTGGAAAAAATTGGATAATTATGGAGAATAAAAGGTTTAGCTTGAGGCGTGTCAAAGACAATATCCTTAAGGATATTTCGCCCGCACCGAGATGAATAATATTAGGCGTATCCCCCAGGATTCAACAAGCTCTTCTAGTATAACTAGGAGCAGAAACAACAAAGATTTATAACAAGAGATCCCAGCACAAAAGAAAAGAGAAGAAAAGTTTTAACTTTGTTTTTTTTTACTCTACTACCACAAACAAATAGCTTTATATATAGTCCAAAAATATGGACATCTGAAATGAAAAAAACGGTAAAATTCATTGAGGATTTAATGCCAAAACAAAACTCCACTATCTCACAAGAAAGCTTACAAGCCATAAAGGCTTTTCAAAAAAAAAATTTACCATACGTTAACATACACAAGTAATGTATAAGAATACAAACACAAATGAAAACCATTAAAGCTATCAAAATGGTAAAAAACGTTAAGAATTATAACTTTAAGACTACATGATTGTTGCCTCATAAGTAACGTATAAGTTATTACCATTCAATTGCCGGATTTTGTTTGTCAAAAATTGAATTCAAACTTATCAAATTAGTTTGTACAAATATATTTAAAATAATTACTATAATAATGACTCATTAATATAATTGTAAGAAAATGAATCTAGACAGAATATTGGAGTATTTTTTTTGAGATATCAAAAATATTTTTTCATCAGCTATTTGATAGTATATGGATATTAGAGAAGATAAAAAAATCAAATTCGATTCACAACACAAAATCATATTTAGAATCTACTCTTGCCCTTGCCACACAAACATTAAATTTTTTTTTTGCTGAAAGTCTCGTTTTTGGAAGGTACATATCTGTATATGAAATATACTATAACGTCATCTAAAAGATAAGTACAAATAATTATTCATAAGAATTGAAATTAGTAACTTAAAAACAAAGGCGAAAAATTCTTGTACTCTTGGTCTATATAAGTTAATCGTAAAGTTCTATTGAGAAATATCACCATCAGATCGAGTTACCTAAGAATCGTAGTTATTGATCTGACACCAAAGCCAAAGGCAACTTTTACGGAAAACTCAGGCTACGATGTATGATATTGAATTCTGGATACAACTTGTGGATCAGCACTCAAAAGAAAATGCCTCTTCAGATTATGGGCATTGAACAAGTTATGACAGTACACTTACCAATTGTTGTAACTGTCTTATCTGATAGCGACACACATCTCAATCACTTTAGTCTAAAAGATCTTGCTATGACTCGAGAGAAAAAGAGCAAAAGTTTTTTTGCATACATCATTTACTAAATTAGTAATACAATAAGACAAAAACTGCTCCCCTAAACAAGGTAAAAGGAGAATGATATCCGATAAATACTTCACACTTTCCTTTAAATTATAGTAGTACGTAGTTTCGGGATCATTTACCTCTTATAAGCCTATGGCTTCAAGTTATTGGGGAGTCAACCATGGAAAACTTGTTTTCCTAATCATCACATTTTGCTTTATTATAGATAGTACATCTGCCGAAGTATGTCGAAAATCTTTTAATCTCTACCTTTTCTTTCTCTTTTTTTGGTTTATCTTTTTTATAGTCATTTTCATGCATGACAATTTGCTTTTCAACTGTGTGTGCGTGCTTGAAAATTCAGTGGTTGAATCACGGCGGAGACAGAACAAACAGAAGGTCAGCTGTTGGGGAGGTTCTGATCAGTCCAAGAACAATAAACAGATTGAAATTAAGGTGGAAATTCTTGGCTGGATTTGACATTACAGCAACTCCAGCAGTGGCCAACGGAGTAGTTTATTTCCCTTCATGGAATGGGAATTTGTATGCAGTGAATGCATTAACTGGACAACTCATATGGCAACAGAATCTTACAAGACTCACTGGCTTGCCTGTAACAAGGACAACTGTGAATGTGACAGTATCAAGATCAACTCCAGTTGTGGCTGATGATCTTCTACTTGTGGGAATTTATGGACCTGCTGTTGTGATTGCAGTGAGACGCTTAACAGGAACACTTGTTTGGTCCACTCTGCTAGATCCCAGGCCTCTGGCTCTTATCACTCAATCAGGAACAGTTTTCTTTGGGTTAGCTATTTCATTTTTGATATGTTAACTGTTTTCAGATAGCATAAATATTACTCCACAACAACAACAACAACGACCCAGTATAATCCCACAAGTGGGGTCTGGGGAGGGTTGTATGTACGCAGACCTTACCCCTACTCCGAAGGTAGAGAGGCTGTTTCCAGGAGACCCTCGGCTCAAAAGAAGCAATAGGAGATGATACATTAGTTATGTAAAAATGCGTAATAAAAAACAGCAACAATATATAAGAGATATGAAATATGAAATACAAGATACGACAACGAAAATACGAAATAGATGGCTGGTATAGTACAACTAGAAGGTAAAGTCCTGCATCAATAGACGCCTAATGACATTCCTAGTCTAACTCCTAACTGGATAGTCTCCCTCTATTGTGCTGTAGAAATATTCACACTCTCCCCTAACCTACAACCCTAATGCTCGACCTCCATAAATCCCTATCAAGGGCCATGTCCTCAGTAATCCTAAGTCGTGCCATGTCCTCAGTAATAAATATTACTCCCTCCGTTCTATTTTATGTGATACTATTCTCATATTAATCAGTACCAAAATGAATAGTATATTTCTATAATTTGAGACATTTTAAATTTTAACTTTTATTTTTACCTTTAATGACATTCCACAGAAATCTCAGTTGTGTTTAATACCACAAAATAACTTGTCAGCTATATGTTTTTAATCATTATATAAAATTTATCCTCCTTAATGATCTGTTTCACTGGTTCGAGCCGTGAAAACAGTCTCTTGCAGAAATGCAGGGTAAGTCTGCGTACAATAGACCCTTGTGGTCCGCCCCTTTCTCGGACCCCCCGCATAGCGGAGGCTTAGTGCATCGGGCTGCCCTTTTTAATGATCTGTTTGCATAAGAAAATTAAGGTAGTCTCTTGAGCTAATAAAATAACTTAATTATCAGCAAATACCTGGTTATGCCACTAAGATATAACTGCTATGTCTGTCATTCACCATACATTTAGTGATAAGACACTAAATTTGTTGTCAACTTCTTGACAGTGGATATTATGTGGGAGTATCATCACTGGAGGAACTACTACCAGCTACACAATGTTGTACTTTTAGAGGCAGTCTAGTAAAGCTAAATGTTCGTACTGGTGCAATTCAATGGCAAACATATACACTCCCAGACAATGGTGGAAGACTTGGAGGTTATTCGGGAGCAGCAATATGGGGAAGCAGCCCTGCTATTGACATAGCCAGAGGATTTGTCTATGTAGGAACTGGAAATCTATACTTAGCTCCACCAGAGGTGCTGAGATGTCAAGCAGCACAGAATAATCGAACGACGCCACCAACTAACCCTGATCAGTGTTTTGGTGAAGATGTTCATTTTAATTCCATTCTTGCATTTGATGTAGATTCTGGAGAAATTGCTTGGGCAACACAGCTTGGAGGCTATGACGTTTTCTATTTCACTTGTTTAGTTCCTAATAATCCAGATTGCCCACCAGGGCCTAACTTGGATGCAGATTTTGGAGAGGCGCCTATGTTGCTAACTATATTCTCAAATGGAAGACTACGTGATATTGTGGTAGCTGTGCAGAAAAGTGGCTTTGCCTGGGCTCTTGATCGCAACACTGGACATATTGTTTGGGTTAAGGTAAGTCTTTATAACCAGAATTTTCATCTTTCAAGTACTCTTCACATCATCAATAATGTGCTTCAGAAAGTATAGTATAGGTAGAAACATTTTAACAATTTCTACTCTGCTTTTGCGAGAAGCAGAGTAGAAATCAAAGAAGTAATACTAATCAGATGGTTGTAACTAGAACAGACGAGTAACAACTTTTCAGCGAGTTTAGCTTTGGAAGGGATATTAGTAACTTAAGAAAGGATAGGAGTAACTTTACTGTGAACAAGCTGCTTAATTTATTGTTGCAGCTGCAGGTTTATTTGATTTTCTTGTTCACTACATTTGTCTTGCACACTTGCACATATATAGATACAATAATGGTCACCTTTTGTTCACCGGACCTTTTGACACTCCCATACTCTAGATTCATATTAACTAGACTCGTTAATTTTGAAACATCCATTTAATTAACACAAGACAACAAATTAATTTTGACGAGAGAAAGGATGTGTAGCTTTTGTTTGCTGGTAACTTTGACGAATACTCCCTCTGTTCTAGTTTATGTGAACCTATTTCCTCTTTGATCCGTTCTAAAATTGGTAATAATTTAGCTTAAACTTACCATTATATCCTTAATGAGAAGCTTTTATAACCACACAAATACTCTGAGTCCCTTTTTGACTTGTTTAGGACTATAAATTCCAGATCTTAAACTCTGTGCCCAGTCAAACAGGTTCACATAAATTGCAACGGATGGAATAATATTTTAGTGATTTCTATACATGAGTAAGAATTTTGTGAACAAAGAGCTTAATTAGCATAATGTAGCATTTTGCTTGTGGTTTATTTGACTTTTGTACACTAACAATATTACATAGTTGTTTTACGCCATCGGGTTAAGCAGGGGCAGGACTAGGTCCTTTGCTGGAATACTATATAGATGCATATAGGGTAAAAATAAACACTTTTGTTATATATAAACTGTTGAATCCCTTTGACATAAAGGAAGATTCTAGTGTAATGGCTAAGGGGTTTCAAAAATGGCTTTAAGTCATAAGTTCAAATCTATGCGCGACATTTTTGTACATTTTGTGCATCCCCTTTTGTCGCAACTGAGGTTAAGTGACATGCAACGACATGTACAATCTTTATTAAACCTAATTTGGTAACTTAAGAACAAAGCTACATAATCTGCTATAAGTGATTAAAATAAACTATGGGCTTGAAACACTTCTTCACTCCAGTGTACACAAGTTAAATCTATTGATAATTTGAAGTGTCGACGTCTTGATGAATCAACTTTGTGAACGTGAAATATTAGTACAAATTTGTTTATCTAAGAATTTTTGTGCGATGTAGAAAGCAGGACCGGGGAGCTTGGAGGGAGGAGGAGTATGGGGTGCAGCCACAGATGGGAAGCGAGTTTACACAAACACAGTCAATGGAAATAGAGTTCCTTTTACCTTAGCACCTTCGAATCAAACAACAACAGCTGGTGGATGGGTAGCATTGGATGCAAACACGGGCCAAATCCTTTGGACCACTGCAGACCCTAGCAACGACACGGCCCACGGGCCAGTCACCATAGTTAATGGGCTTCTTTTTGCAGGGTCTGTGGCTCCTAATGGCCCTCTCTATGCCATGGATGCCAGTACTGGGAAAATCTTGTGGACATTTAACACTGGTGCTACAATCTATGGGGGTGTATCTGTTAGCTATGGTTGTGTTTATGTTGGCCATGGATATTCAATTAGTCTGGCTAAGTTCCATCCAACTTGGACCAGTGGGACTTCACTCTTTGCCTTTTGCATTGATGTCTAAAGAGTAAGCTGATTCTTGTAATAAACTAAAGTGTTTTCACTTCCTGATAAGAGTTGTAATACTAATAAGTTTCCATACCTAAAAGATCATGTAAGATTGAATCCGTATATTTTAAGTAGAAAAATCTTGGAGGTAACTTGTTCAAGCTTTCTTCATGCTTATAACGGAGATGGAAAAGTTGATAAGATGAAGTTAGCTCTAGTACACTATTAGGAAATGGAATAAAAGCAACAGCAATCTAAAGAAAATATATTAACCAGCTGAATGGCATATGCTAACTCATTTAACTATCAACATAACATAGGCTCACTCACTTAACTATCAATGCAACTTTAAAAAAGAAGAAGAAAGAAACCACTTTTTATTAAAGCAAAAGCAAAGTACAAATTCATAGAGGGGGGATTAGGTTGATATCCCTGCAGATCAAACTTGGTAGAAACTGGCAAATCCTAAATTCTATTTACAATGGCTTTCTAGTTCCAATATTGCTATTCTAACCATGCAAAACAAGAATTTTCTATCTCGAAGGAGTCATTCCTTGCCTTAATTTTTCTTCGGTATCCAACTAGGAATTCCTTTTTCTTGTTCACCAAAGAATCCAAATTTAAATCCTAAAACATCTTTTGTTTTCTTTTCTTGAGGAGTTCGTTCTCTATTCTTCTTGAAAAATATCCATATTCATCTCTATGTCATCGTCTGAATCATGTTCCTCAGATATAGAATCAAAATCTACTTCATTGATTTTTTCTTCTCCATAACCATTGGTGGGGTTTATCCTGAAGGAACTAACACATTTAAGGTCGATTTAGAGGATCCAGGAGTGTATTGAACTTCATCATTTGACAGGACGTACTAAACAACTGCCAGGAGCTAATGGTGGGAAAGTTATTTTTTGAAGAAGGAAACTCTACCCTTAATTGGACTTGATTAATATCGTCACCTCTAGCTTCACCCTTATTTGTCATCTATATGATCTTCATCTTCCATATTATCATCATAAAAGATGGTTATATTATGCAAAGGATCGAAATAGTGTTGATTATGATGCTCATGATTCAAAGATTCTACAACCTCATAATCATAATCGGGAAATAACACCATATATATTATGTATGGAATTGAAGTGGAAAATTATATCCTTTGAATGAGTGAATCATGTCTAACAAGTGGGTAAAATTCTAGGAATCCCATATGGCTGCTCTCTAATTATGCTCTATTGCATTTTTACAAACATCACATCTTCAGAGCTAACTATAGAATTTTGATGCTCTAGGGTTCAATCAATTATGTGCCATTAGTAGATTTAAGACTCCCCTTAGTAGTAACAACATTATTCACATCCTCAAGACCTCAACTCCATTAGCTCTCTTTTCAAACATCTAATTCTAACACAGGGTATTTGCAACTCTATATATGCATACAAAAATTCGTGGTCTTTGACTGACTAAAGCATACCTGTTTGTGTTAATCTTCAAAATGGATGCAAATTAAGGATGGTACCATGGAATGGATCATCCATATGTGCAGTTGTGTTGATAGAGTCCAAGTGCTATAGCCATTGCCGTCGCGTTAGTCGTGGTTCTATGGAGTTCGTGTGCATTTGGAAATTTATAGCTTCACAGTAATCTTTTGTTTAACCTGGAGCTTAGTGCACGGGCGCTCTTTTACAATAATTTCTAATTTTCATTTACTTTGTTTCAACAAAACCAAACCCACAATATGTACTTCTCCATATAAAAAAATATTTTTCAATTTTTCCATGTTTGATTAGTTTAAATGTTTTGGAAAATATTTTTCTCGTTAACTCATTTTCCTCCAATTGTTTTCTTATCAAGAGAAGGAAAAATATTTTCCAAAACTCTTTTTCAACCTTCCCCACCCTATTCCTCATTGCCACCAACCC